CCATAACCCTAACCCTAGTGGTAAGGGCTAACCACTTCGGGTTAGGAAGGAAGTTAGGGTTAAGTGGGGCAGCGTGGTAAAGGGAAGCTGCTCCCACCTGGCAAGGCCGTGTAGGGTTGACATCAGACCCGGCCAGGTTGAGTGGATGTTTGTGGTGGCGAGACACAAGGTGGGACTTCGTGATGTAATTCGAGAGAGGCGACAATGAAGGGCACCAACAACTGGAATCTGGACTTCAAGGAAGATGAGGAGTGACTTTAGGGCTCCCTCAAGTTAGGCGAGCTTGAGGGTGGCAGCCATATCTGCACCTACGGACTGCAAGTTGCTACTTTGATCCTCAACATCGACGGGGGATCCGACGTTGTACTTTGGGGTAGATGTTGACCCTCCTAGATGATAGGACAATAGAGTAGAGGATGCTAATTGGGTCAGGAGGACTATGTGAGAGGGGGGTGAGTTTCTTTCATCTCAAGAGCCCGACCACTCAGGTAAGATCCGTGTCGCCAGGGTGCCAATGTGTGTGTGCATGGAATTGACTGCCTGCTGGGGTATTCTGGGTTCTTCTTCCATCCTCCATAGTCTTGATCTTGTGTGAGGTGAGTGAACTACTTACTCACCCGACGAGTGAATGCATGGAGTATCTTGCGTGCCATGCTATATCTTTCTACAATGCTTTGTTTATTTCATTATGAACGACTTTAGTCTGTAGGTTCCTTCTGGGGCTAAATTTCGTTTTTCAATTCGGTAGGGACAGAGAGTTGGTCTTTGTGGAACTCTTGTTGGTTGGAACCCAGTTCTGACTCCAATGGGACCACTTGGGACTCGGTGGGACCGGGCCCAAACAAGAAGGGCCCCTCAGGCCCAAATCTGTTGACGTTAGTTACCTTGCTCTATCTAACTCGGAGTTCATGCTTTCGGACCAGGACACTCGCTGATGAGGGGATCTTAGCTGAGACGTTTTAACAGACTTTACCGCACGATCCGCCGCCTGACTCGCACCTTGGACACCACTCAATTCTCTCTTGCATTACGTAGTATACTTTGAATTTGATTTGCTGTGTCTTCACGAAGCTGAGTCAGGCTTGGCTTGAGAGGACCTCATATGTAGTCGGACCAGACTGTGTGGCGGAATCAGATCTCTCCGATCTTTTATTTTTTTGTTGTTTTGACTGCTCTCCAGTCCAAATGAATTGCTTCTCCGGCTACGATTTCACCTTCTCTCCTAATTGCTTTCAAGACTGTTTCTTTCATCGGGTTCGTTAAATGCCTGCGTCTACACGATTGCAAACGAGAGAGAGCGAGAGAGAAGAAAGAAGCTTCTGAGTGTTGCTCTTGAGGGAGTGAGGAGAGGGAAGAGGAGTGTTCGTCCAAGAAGTGTGAGGGAGTACCTCTCTTGAGAGACTTATTGACACCCTCGTCCTCCATCATGGCATCTGCAGCAGAATGGAAGCTGCAAATGGACGCTGTCGAGCGCATCGGTCCCGCACGGGGAACCTCCCGACCGCGTCACGCAAGATTTTGCAGGACTTTGTCGCAGAGCGTTTTAGCCGCTCCGGCCGAGTGCGCCAGCCGTACCTCTTGCGAGCCCCTACGACAGAACAGGATCACGCGAGGCACCGCTTACCTCCACCTGCACGAGCTGTCACCATCCCTTGGGTGGGCGTATCCCCGCCGAGCTACTGAACCACATGCGAAAGCTTTTCGTATGCAATTGCAGAGGTGGCCCAGCGGAGGGCGTTTCTCGTTCGCTGTAGCATAGGGGGTTACGCGCAGTCGAACGCCCGAAAATCAAACCCGCACGCAAATCGACGTACTGGGGGGCTGAGGTCCCAAACGCGACTTGGCGCCGGTCGACTAGAACGCATCACACACACCACGCGTTACACCACAGGACTCACATCTACTCACACATAACACAAAAAAAAAAAAAAAAAAAAAACCACACACAAAACAAACACAACATCACAACACTCCTAGTCCCTTCAGTATCCGACCCATAACTTCATGCCGCGAGAATCAGGTAGCGAACCGCGCTAGACTTTCGTACAAGTGTCGTGCGAGCGCATGGCCTCCTCATATCGACCAGCCATGAAGACATTCGCAAGCATTTGCACTGATGGGGTACTATGTGCTACTCGTAGCCTCGCGGCCCTTGATAATCTGGAGGGTCGCGTTCGACGCTGAAGTGTTGGCTGACAAGCGCTTTGAGGGGTAATCTCTCGACGCCAGACAACCGCCATGTGCGGTTGAAGACCACACCCTCTTCTACACCCTGTGCAGAGGGGTTGAGTAGACAGCTTCAAGGCTGTCATGCTAGTCGAAATCAAGGGGTTTGACTTTGACGGCTACCACGGACTACAACGTTCAACCATGATAACTTAAGGGGCAAACAACTGCGGGTAGTTCCAAAAGGGAGGGGTAGGCCAACACGAGAGATGCGTGCGGATGATGCCCAGACTCACACCCACGGGCATCCCGATGTTTGAGACTTTTGGAGGCTCGTACACGGGTCCCCTTAAGCCGACTAGGTTCATTCCCTTGCTCCAGCATCGTTTCGTGCTGCCGAAACTTGGGTTTACTGGTCGTGACGCGCTTTTGCCCTCTTCGCTCGTCCCGTAACTTTCGAGCACAGAAATTGGTAAGTGTCGCGCGCATGGGTTAACATAAATCCGTGCGGACGCAGAACCTACGCATACCGGCCAACGATGCGGATTTGCGTAAGCAATCGTGATGTCGGCGCATTATGTGACGTCCATACACGAGTGGCCTCTTTTGAGCCATGGGGTCGCTCTCGCCGCTCAGGCGTCGACTGAAGTGCGCGCTAAGGGGGGTAAACCTTTTAGCAAGCGCAAAACCGGCTTGAGGGCCTTACCATCTTCTGCACCCTGAGGTGCCCCAAAGGGTGCGGGGTAAGATGGCCTCTAGGGCAGGAAGGAATTCGGAGCGGTGGTGAGTTGTTTGGCGCACCACCAGCGACACGCTAATCCTTCCGCCCGGAACTTTATCGTTCCACCAAAACAATTTAAACAAAAAAGAAGAAAAAGGATTACTTGGCGTTGGCAGAGGAAAATACGAACGCCCCGCCTGACCGAGTGGCTGGGGGACAACCCCTCCTCCTTGCGGCGCTTCTGTTTCCCTGGGGCAGCAAGTAATTCAACGTCCTGGACAAGGACCTTGAACTAAAACCTTTGAGTAAGGGGGAGCGTAAGCGTGCAGTCGCACATTCCTATAAGGATTACCCGAGCGTACGCTTACTCTGACTATCAAATTATCAAGCTGGGAACAAAACAATCTCACTCAAACAAAAGGGTTGTGGGGTATTTCACTCTCACGACAGTTGTGTGGTGACATAATCATTCGCCACATATTTAATCGAGTTCCTCCCTTACATACCTGCATTCATCCGACATTCAAATAACATCCCACACGCTAAAAGGGTCAACCTTTCAGCCTTCTGTGTCTCACACCCTGCCCCATGCCCACAAGTTCAACCATTTCCCCACCCATTCTCAACAAAAGTACTCAGTCTTTACATAATGGCTATTTATAAAGAAACTGGGTGAGAACGCAAAGAAACACATAAATCCTGGCACGGGCCAAGGCCTTAGGTTGAGAGGCAGGAGAAATTGGAAAGTTGAGTCGTAAACCGACGAATCGGCAACCGACCTGTTATCAGTAATAACAGACAAGTGATCCTTTCGTAGAATCAGGCCGAACAATTCGAGCCTTCAACCGGATGTGAAAACCTGCATCACAGTACAGGTCAAGGAGAGCCACTACTATGTTCAAGCCAAGTGGAGAACGTGCTCCAACTCATAGCCTAACTCCTCTACTAACCTCTCTTTCAACCTCCCTTATTGACACTAAGTCACGGAGAATGTCGGCAGCATCTCCCCTACTCAGTGTGGATTGCCAAGTTTCTTCTAGCCAAAAATATTCTAACTTTTAAAATTCTACAAAATTTCGGCAGCGCTTTCCATAGGAAAAGTGTCTTTTCAGAATTTCTATGGCTCAAAATTGGCTAACTCTTTTAGATTTGTATAAATTTCGGCAGCGCTTCCCGTAGGAACAGGAGGCCGCCAAGATTTATACAAAGCTGAAAATAGATAGACCGAGCAAAACTATACTTGGGACTAACTTCTGACATTTCCTTGGTAAGTAGAATCAACGATAGTCTGCACGACCTCTAGATGAGATTGTGAGCTGACACTGATCCTAATTCCTAGCAGGGTCAGTCCTAACCTGCCCCAAGCTTCCCTCTCATCATCCATCTCATCTACCTATAGCTCCAGCCTTCAGCGAGCATCTAAAACAACTAACCTATTCAAAAGATGCCCCAATGAGAGCCCAAAGCATGCACAATCAAACATCTCTCGCAATCCCACATCATTTTGAGCAAAATAGTTCGTTAAGTCACTCAGTTCTTCTCCCTTTTTATGTCCCCCTTTCTTTGCATATGGTCAGACAAGGCCCTAACCTAAGGGTATGTCCGGCCTGCCTAGGTAAACAAGTAAAGTACGCACAACCAGGTTGCCCTAACCTAAGGGTGTGCCCAACATAACATAAACTATATACATAAAGCATATGACCAGACTGCCCTAACCTAAGGGTGTGTCTAGCTTCTGCTTAACTAACGACACGAAGCATAAGGGTAGGCTGCCCCAACCTAGGGGTGTGCCTAGCCAGCTTTAAACAAAGTTACATATGGCATAACTGCCCCAACCTAGGGGTGTGCTTAACCTGCCTAAACAACCACAAACGACAACGGTTAAACCACCCTAACCTAAGGGTACGTCCAACCCACAGAACATTAACGACAAGGGCATATCACTAGGCCGCCCCAACCTAGGGGTACGCCTAGTTAGCCTATACAACTTTAGTTACATAAGGCATTTGCGACCAGACCGCCCTAACCTAAGGGTACGTCCGGTCTGCCTGAACAAGTACAACGACGTATGGCTAAGCCGCCCAAACCTAAGGGTACGCTTAGCCTCCGTAACAATAATTTAATCAACCATGGATACTTGCACAAACTCTATGATTTTCTCTCTTCTTAGGCATAGTCAGACGTAGGGAGACATCAAACTCTGCCTTTTGTTTAGAAGGGAAAATAAACAACGATTTATACTAACTCTCTGCCCCTCTTGTTATCACGAGCATATGATTGAGCCGCCCTAACCTAAGGGTACGCTTAGCCTGCCCGAGTTACCTTTATTATACTCTTCATTCATTTCTCTTTTCTTTTTGTTCTACCTGACTTACTGACTGGCAAGGTATAAGTTCAATAATATATATCAAATTCTATACTCTGGTTATCCATTTGGTTCATAGCTTATGACTGAGCCGCCCCAACCTAAGGGTACGCTCAGCCTTGTGTCTTTGTCCCCCTTAGAAGAAACACACAGGACTGGGGTCACGCAACCTAGAATGCCCCAGTTCTGTTTCAAGAACCCACAAAAGAAACATTAGGAAGCCAACCTTCCCAACCTAGGGCGTTCGGTTCCCTGTTTAGAAACCCTCAAAGAAACGGCTCCTGAGTCATCCAACCTAGGGTAGGCTCAATCCTAAAAAGGTCATTCAGACAGTCCAACAAACAAAAATAACATAGCACTGAGTCCACACCAACCTAGGGGAACTCAGCCTTGGGTTGACCCGGTCAAAGCATGCAAAACACCTTCCTCCCGCCTTCCCCCAATTCATTCTGTCTGAATTCGCTCAAAGTATCTCACTCTCATATACACTTGTTAATTTAACCTTTTCAAAAGCATGTCTTGACATACATAACAAAAATAAAAAGTAATAACCTTTCATAATTATGTTCTCAGATAGTCCAAAGGAATAATAGTAGTTAGGGGAAAGGATCCCACGCGTTAGACGAAAGTTATACGTGACTGTTCCCTGCCTCCAGAACCCCGCCTGGGCTCTGGCAGAGCTCCCGCAATCGGTGGGCTGACCTTCCACAAGGTCTTGTTGCGGTCCTACGGGTTGCAATCCCGCCTGCCGCCTTCCTCTCGTAACCTCAGACTAGACTTAACAACTCAACTCACAAGGAGAGGGCCTTGGAATCTGGGTGCGCCTGAGGGCCCCGCAATGATGGCCAATGGCGCAGTAATGGGTACTCAGCTCATGGTCAGAATGTAGAATATCCGCCTCTGACAGTCTTCCAAGTAGCAGCAGTAACCCCCTTGTAAAGTTCCACTCACTCCCCTCCCTCACAAGGCCGTCTCTTAGGCCTACGCCGTTGCTGCGCTTAGTGAGGACCAGCGTCCTGTCTAGCAGTCGTCCAGCAAAGAATAGCGTTCCTGCACAGCAGCAGCGCCTAGCAAATAGTGTCCCTGCACGGCAGCAGCAACTTATCTACTGTGATAGCAGCCTGTTCTGGGCACTCCCCCTAACCATAGCGTGCCATTCCTCCAAGTTTTGTTGATGCCGCTCCCCAACTCGCAATGGCCCATCAGTAGTCCAACCACTATGTTTCGCTGCCCGCGAAAACAGTTCGTTATATGCAGAAACGCACAGCGGGGAACAGCGCCCTACACAACAGTACAACTCAGGTAGCCAACCACAATCTACTGGTTGCCGAGCGTGGTAGTGGCAGCAGTATCTCGGCAGCTATATCTGTCACCGCAGGTGGGCATGGCAGCAGTAACTTCAGTGTCCTCCGAAGAGGCCGGCAAAACCAAATTTAGTTCGTCCACAGGCTACCTCCGCTTTTAGTACCTCGCGTTTGACCAATGCCACTCGCAGCGACTTCTGAATCTTCCGTAAGGGCACTAGCAGCAATACACCAGTGACTTGAAAATGCAATAATGGCACTGTTCACCCTCCGCTTCTGCAACTAAGGTACCAACACTAGCAGTCCAGACTTCGAACAGCTGCTTCGCAGGGCGAAGCAACCCAACGCTTGAAGTGATTGTTCTATGCAACACAGCAAGATGCTGCAAACAGCAACTGCTCCCGACCTTGGAG